GGCATCGAAAACATACAAAAAAAATTTGTTCGTTATCTTAATTTTAAATGTAAGAAAATTGAAATAGGCGCCGAATACGAGGAGATTTGTCGAATTTACAACATTTTAACTTTAGCCGAACGTCGATCAGTATTAGATATGAGCTTGCTATACGATATCATTCGCGGGCGTCTGGACTGTCCCGAGCTTGTTGAGCTTATCTCTTTGAAAGCCCCCCCGCGTCGCACGAGGCAAACTCGCTTGCTTCATGTCCCGCACCATCGCACTAACTATGGACGGAACTCCGTTTTCGCTAGAATACCACGCACTTATAATGATATGTTCAATCATATTGACATTTTCGTTGGCTCCAAACATAAATTTCAAAATAATATTAAACAATGTTTTAATAATGGTGAGGAATGAGGGAGATATTGGGTTGTGCATTGCGTGGGTATAATGTTTATATTTTAGTGGTGTTGGGTGGTCTTTATGTGTGAGCAAGACTAGGTTGTGTTGGGCGCTGTCCATGCAAGAATTATCTTCAGCACATTGGCAGCGCACGATACAGCCATCAAGGATGCAAAAAAAAAAAAANTCTTCAAGCAAGAACCCTTGACTTTAATGGTTATGAAAGATTTTTAACTTTCTAGAGTAGTCCTGAATAGATCCTTAAATCATTTTGACTGTCAAAATCGATTACAGTAGGCAGCGGGATACTTTCAATTTTGATAGAACTGTAATTTCCAGTTCTTCTGTTGAATAGTCTCATACTTTCGCAAAAAATATTATTTTTCTTTTGGCTCCTTTAAAGAGGTGTAAGTTTCTTTCCCTTCGTCTAAAAAGATAACGTACATAACACCTTTATAAGTAGCCTTAAACATAAAGCATACCTTTACCCAATCATCGAACTGAGAAAAATCTGAAATCCGACATTTATCACCTTCTTCCATTCATGTCTTCAATTATTATCTTCGTTCGAAAAACAATCAAAAAAAGATATTTTAGCCTATTCACTTATCTTGATCAGTGTTCAAAATAATCAAAGTCACTCACATACTTACTTTTTCAGAAAGAATCCAATAGGCAGGTTTGCAGTACACCAAAATGTTATCACATTATCTGCACAGCAGTTTTTGTGTACGTTAGCTGGCATATAAAACTATAGGTAGAAGTGTACATAATGGATCTGCAATAATGTGTGGCAATACGGCTCGGAAACGTGGCCTCTCCATATAGGCCTTATAAATAAGCTCAAAATTGCACAACGTGCTATGGAGAAGGCTATGCTCGGTGTTTCTTTACAAGATCGAATCAGAAACGAGGAGGAGATCCGTAAACGAACCAAAGTCATTGACATAGCCCAACGGATAAGCAAGCTAAAGTGGCAATGGGCAGGGCACATAGTACGCAGAACTAATGGCCGATGAAGCAGCAAGGTTCTGGAGTGGAGGCCACGTACCGGAAAGCGCAGCGTAGGACGTCCACCCACAAGGTAGACCGACGACCTCATAAAGGTAGCAGGAAGGCGCTGGATGCAGGGCACCACCAAGCAGCCATTGTGGAAATCAATGGGGGAGGCCTATGTTCAGCAGTGGACGTTCTATGGTTGAAATGATGATGGATGATGAGTATTGTCTACTGTATGGGTTGAAACCCTTACTAAACCCACTACCTACTGTAATCGATTTTGACAGTCAAAATGATTTAAGGATCTATTCAGGACTACTCTAGAAAGTTAAAAATCTTTCATAACCATTCAAGTCAAGGGTTCTTCCTTGAAGACTTTTTTTAATCATGTATGTCGCTATTATAAGTGCCAAGAAGTAGGTATATACCTAGGTAAAGGGTTGATATCTACCTAATCTATCTTACACGATAACCAGTAGACCAGTAGTGAATATTATAATGACAATAAAAACAACTTAGACTACCTAGTACCTACAAACTTAGAATCTAGTTTGAAAGGTTTTAGTGTGAAATGAGGTAATAGGGGGCTGTAGTAAGTTAGACTGAGTATATTTATTTATTAATAATTACTTTATGTGCATTAAAATCAATAATGAATAAATAAAAATATTTAAAATTTTGCATGTCCATTACTCGCTTGGCCGCGCGTGCCCGCAAAAAGTATTTATGTAGTAATGTTAGGCACCATAGGTACTTACGACTACATAAGGTTTGACCGCTACAGTTTGCAACAGTAGCCAGAAAAAAAATAAAAAAGATTTTCCTCCATACAAATTTTCTTGTCATATTTTTTTTAAGCATGAAAGGCTCGTTTTATCGAAAAATGCATAATGACAAATGTTGATCAGCATTCAAAATGCTATCCAAAACAATTTTTGTTTCGGTGAAATTATGACTTTCGATCGTAAGTCCACCTTTTAATCCAACGAACTCAAACTCTATAAGTTTCTGCCGTTTCGGTTAAGAGTTCCTATGGCCACCTCCTGACTTCATCATCAGGACCCTGAACATCATCTAGCACTTAAGTGCTTGAAAAGACAAATCCAACAAACCCAAATTCGATGAGTTTCCACCGTTTCGTTTAGGAGTTCCTATGGCCACCTCCCGAATCCATCATCAGGACCCTGGGCATCATTTAGCACTAAATTGCTCCAAAAGACAAATCCAACGAACCCAAGTTCGATGCGATTCCGCCGTTTCGTTTAAGAGTTCCTATGGTCACCTCTTGACTCCATCATCAACCCAGCTAAATGGTCGGCGGTATAGCCAACAACCTGTTTAGAACTCTTTTAAAGATTTCTCCACAATCACCCCCATTCTCATATTCACATTTCGAGATGAATTAATGTAAGCAAATCGAATCCGCTGGGTGAACTAGATGGGCGAGGTTGAAGATCTCTACTTACACTTGGCCTGCGGATGAATATGGAGAAAACAAAGCTTATGTCCAACCAATGTCCATGTTGCGCCCTACCCAGTTTCGGTTGGGAGCTCAATTCTAGAGATTGTTGACAGGTATGTCTACCTCGGACAAACGATTCAGCTGAGTAGGTCCAATTTCGAGAAAGAGGTCAATCGTCGAATCCAACTCGGCTGGGCAGCGTTTGGGAAACGACGCAACATCTTTTAGTCCAAAATACCTCAGTGCCTGAAGACTAAGGTCTACAACCGATGTGTGTTACCAGTGATGACTTATGGTTTGGAAACGTGGCTTCTCACTATAGGCCTTATACAGAAGCTCAAATTGCACAGCGTGCTATGGAGAGAGCTATGCTCGGTGTTTCTTTACGAGATCGAATCAGAAATGAGGAGATCCGTAAACGAACTAAAGTCGCTGACATACTAGCCCGACGGATACAAGCTTAAGTGGCAATGGGCAGGGCACATAGTACGCAGAACTGACGGCCGATGGGGCAGCAAGGTTCTGGAGTGACATGCAAATAATTTAAATTTGGAGTGGAGGCCGCGTACCGGAAAACGCAGCGTGGGACGTCCACCCACAAGGTGGACCGATAACATCATAAAGGTAGCAGGAAGGCGCTGGACGCAGGTCGCTATCAACCAGGCAACATGAAAAGCATTGGGGGGACCTATGTTCAGCAGTGGACGTCCTATGGCTGAGATGATGATGATGACTTACACTTGCAAGGGATATTTGCCGATTTAGCTGCTCTTTAAAACTCAGCGATATGGTGTTTCAGAATCAGAATCAGAATCAGCCGACTAGCGAATTCACTTACGCATGCGGCATATCGCGTTATTGTGCGACGAAGTTCAATCAAAACTTCGCTTGTTTTGCATCCATGTTGCATTCAATAGATATTTTGGTTTATGATTTTATGATAAAATTTTTGGGGTAAAATATTCGAAAAAATCGGATTTCAAAGTCAAAATCCGGATTTTTTAATAGCCTCAAAATCCGGATTTTTCAGATATTTTCGAATTTCGAATAATCCGGATTGCAATCTTTAAAAGGCATCGAAAACATACAAAAAAAATTTGTTCGTTATCTTAATTTTAAATGTAAGAAAATTGAAATAGGCGCCGAATACGAGGAGATTTGTCGAATTTACAACATTTTAACTTTAGCCGAACGTCGATCAGTATTAGATATGAGCTTGCTATACGATATCATTCGCGGGCGTCTGGACTGTCCCGAGCTTGTTGAGCTTATCTCTTTGAAAGCCCCCCCGCGTCGCACGAGGCAAACTCGCTTGCTTCATGTCCCGCACCATCGCACTAACTATGGACGGAACTCCGTTTTCGCTAGAATACCACGCACTTATAATGATATGTTCAATCATATTGACATTTTCGTTGGCTCCAAACATAAATTTCAAAATAATATTAAACAATGTTTTAATAATGGTGAGGAATGAGGGAGATATTGGGTTGTGCATTGCGTGGGTATAATGTTTATATTTTAGTGGTGTTGGGTGGTCTTTATGTGTGAGCAAGACTAGGTTGTGTTGGGCGCTGTCCATGCAAGAATTATCTTCAGCACATTGGCAGCGCACGATACAGCCATCAAGGATGCAAAAAAAAAAAAAAAAAAAAAAACTTGTGGTATGCATGGTGCAGTGTGTGATGGATCATTGTTTAAATTATATTAATGTTTTAGCTTCCCTTCAGTAGGATATTTAAATTCATAATGGTTGTCACTCGAGAAGGTATATAGAAATGTTTAATGTTGGATAGTCATAATTGGCCTACAAAATCTACTAAAAAACATTGTTATTAGATACAGATTGATATTGTGCTGTGTACTATCCGTAATAAATAAATAAATAAATAAATAAATAAATAAATAGAGTATTTACTCTGCTACTACTCTAGTGACTAGAGTATTTACTTGTAACAGAACAACGTATTGTACCATTCTCAAGAACGATACGTTACATAGAAATGCTTTAATGTATACTCACCTTAATATATAATTTTAATTAGTTTGCATGATCTCATACCTGCCAAGTTCAGCCAACAGGAGCGCTTGCGAGGCCTCACGGACCTCAAGGCAGTGGTGCTGCCATCTACGGGCGAGCATCTCCACCTGCGGCCGTTTGAAGCTCTTCGCACCTGCGAGAAACGTATCAGTGATACATTGAAGCGGTGTAAGTGATACACGCTCGCAGTAAGTGATGTATTGCCGCAGCATCACTGCAGCATATTCAGTGATACATGGAAGCGGTGTAAGTGATACGGGCTCGTAGCAAGTGATACACGCTCGCAAAGCGTTGCATGAACGCAGCATCACTATTTACTATGCTGGTCGAAACATATGCTAAGATAATAAATAAATAAATCTTTATTTAGTAACTTATTTGACAGTTAAAAGTCTAGGCTAAACTTATGATACAAAACTGCAGCTAGTTATACACGATTTCAGGATACACGTCATCTGCTTAAACTGTTAGTAGGACGTCATAATATATCTACAATGAACAAGTGATACATGTATGTAGATCAGTGATTATGCCCGTGGCTTATTGATAAATGCCTGTAGCATTGTGATTATTAATCATAGTTTGAGCACATTTCCTGCAGCATGTAAAACACGGTTGTTCCAAGTGATGCACGCCCTCTCCAAGTGATACACGCCTAAGTGATACGTGGCCAAGTGATACGCACCCGCAGCGACCACCTTGTCCGGTAACAGCACGCAGTGAAGCGTGGCCAGCAGCGACCAGCCCTGCTTGATGTGGGCCTGCTGTTGCGGAAACACACGCCCGTTGCGAGAGCTCGCGTGATGCACGCCCACTCCAAGTGATACGTGGCCAAGTGATACGCACCCGCAGCGACCACCTTGTCCGGTAACAGCACGCAGTGTAGCGTGGCCAGCAGCGACCAGCCCTGCTTGATGTGGGCTTGCTGGGCGGCCAGTTGCTCCTCGCGCTCCTCGTCGCCGGCCCATGATGTGCTGCTACGGGTTGAGGGTCTGGAGAGAAGGAGAGCAATAAGACTCGGTAAAGCCTGGCCCGTGAGCACGTAGAATTTTGTCCAATGACCCCAAGCTACCCATCCTTATCGCTCGCGCGTAATTATATTGCTGTCGCGACTGTGCGACGGACAGTGATCAATAATCAGAATTTAGGATGACAAAAATATTTTAATCTGAAATTACAATTATCTAATAATGTTATTGATAATATCATTAAGTAAATAAATATTTCTTTATTAAAATAATGTATTTGAGACTACAATCTTAAAAAACCGGCCAAGTGCGAGTCGGACTCGCGCACCGAGGGTTCCGTACAAACCTGTAGGTAGGTATATAACTTTGATTTTGTTACAGCTTAAAGGTACTATGGACCTGATTATTTAATATGAATTTCAATTAAATACCTCTACGCGTTCATGAGGAAAGTAGTAGACTTTAAAATTCTCATTTTATCACTTTGGAAGAATCTCTCGCGCAAACTATTCAGTTTAGAAAAAAATGATATTAGAAACCTCAATATCATTTTTGAAGACCTATCCAGAGATACCCCACACGTATGGGTTTGATGAAAAAAATATTTTTGAGTTTCAGTTCTAAGTATGGGGACCCCCCATGATGCCCTTAGTTCAATAAAAGAATCAATTAAAGACTAGTTAATTTCGATTGGGTAAAAAGTGCTAGTGCCTATTTTGTCGAATACGAAATATAATTCTGTAGACTGCCTCGTGACTTAACAGTAAATTCAGGAGATGATGATGAAATGTTATGAAGTGCTGAGGCAGCCCTACGTTTTCCGACTGAATGAAGTTTCATCTTGGCTGCTAAGCACAACTATTCTTCACTTCTGGATGATACTTCGTCTTTTAATCTACTACGCTTAGTTCTGTCACCTAAATCGATGAAAGCCTTTTTCGGGCGTCCTCTACCTACAGACCCTGAAGTTGAAGGCTGTTCAATAATGATCTTCAGATGTTATTATGCATTTACACAACTAATTCTCATATTTTTTTTCAAATTGAGAGATATCTTTGCCGATTTTAATCAATTTCTGGAAGCTGACAAACAAAAGCTATTTTTTGAATTTCGTAACTCATTTCGCTCTTGTGTTATCAAATCTGATACTCTAACGACCTCATAGACATAGTTTAATAATATATCTTTAGATTGCTTAGTTGCAGGTTTAATTGGAGGAAGTTTTTTGAGGTTTTTAAATAAATCTGAATTTCTAACTGTACTTTCGTTTCCTGCAAAAATGAAAAGTTTGTTCAGGCAGGGGTAGTTTGGGGTAAATTTTTTTATTGAATACCATAATACAGACTTCCAGCTATCTACCAGTACCAAAATTTCCATGTTCTAATATGTTCCTTGTAAGATACAGGCTTTAAAATAAAATAAAATACCTAAAATTTTAAGCTAAGTTTTGAATATTTTTTCTAAATTACTATAACAATTAACAGTTACTAAGTGTTATAGAAAATGAAGTATATACCTTCATTAATGTGCACCATATTTCATAATACGCAACAATGCACTGTATAAGTCAAACCAAACAGATAACTGTGCGCGAAAACAGGAAGTAAATAGAACAAATCAGTACAAATTAGCGAGAGCACTGCATTTACTAGCTGGTATCTCAGTAATGACTTACCTTTAACCGTTCATATTCAACAAGAATATGAGGTAAGTACCCCCAATCACATCGCGATGATTTGTTTTAACTACCCTCACAATGTCAAATTTGAATATTATCCACCTAATATCTCATTATTGATCACCGTGGGGCGCCCGCAGAGTGTGCGAGCTCACGGACCAAGCTTTAGTCGGTATTTCTCATCATTCTACTCTAAAGGCTGACTTACACATGTTAAGTTGTTAAAAATCTTAATTTTAAGTGATTAATTGCATGTTAACAGAATTTAATAATGGGGTAAACATGCAATTTCATCACTTAAAATTAAGTTAAAAAGTACCTGCTTAACTACTTAATACGTATAAATGAGCCTTTAGTGAGCACCACATAACTTATCCTTTACCCGCAGGGTAGGTCTGCAATTCATGGCATTTTTTCCCCATAAACAAAGGATTTCGAAAAACATTTATTTTGACTCGTACATAAAATGACTTCCTCATTAGCCAGAAAGTTTTGACAGTATCAACTCCTTGCCAGACAATCTTTTGAGGGCAAAGCCACGATGACCCAAACATCATGATGCACCAACATTCTATCCTATATTGGGAGCATAAGCTGGCAAACTTTCAGCTTTTATAAAATGACGTAGGCTTGGCATTCACTAGCTCTTGGTCTATTGGGTTACAGCGTAACTTTATTCATGCTTGGGATACTGCTCCTCTCGCCCGCTCCATTTAAGACGACTTATAACTTATTCGTAAGTGTCACAAACAGCAAGCAATATTTCATTCAAGAACAGCCTGCTAGTAGTAAATAAAAGTCTTTGCGTAAAGGCTGTGTTTTTGCTTCAAATTGCGATAGTACAGTTAATTGAGGCCAGCTCGTAAGCGCTAACTGCACTAATATACAAACAGAACGTGTTGAAAGCGCACTTAGTAATGGGATAGAAAAACTATCATTAACTAAAGGTCATCTATCACTTTGAGGACTACATAAATCACTGCGCTTTTTATTTAAATTTTAGAGCAAAAAGTTACTTCATGAATGCAATACCAGGAATAAAAATAAACTTTGGGCAAGGTAAATTGGATATTTGACACCATCTGTACCAATATTATAAATGCGAAAGTAACTCTGTCTGTCTTGCTCTCACGTCTAAACCACTGAACCGATTTTGATGAAACTTGGCATAGAGATAGTTTGAGTCCCGGGAAAGGACATAGGATAGTTTTTATCCCGGTTTTTGAAACAGGGACGCGCGCAATAAAGTTTTTCTGTGACAGACAAAATTCCACGCGAGCAAACCCGCGGCGGAAAGCTAGTTCCTTAATAATTCTAAAGCACAATTTTTTAAATAGACACTTCATACCGGTTTTAAATACTTAATTAATTTTAAATTAGCTGTAAATTAAGATTTTTGGTTGCATTGTAATTGAAAAAGTAGTGACGTCACTTGTTTGTATTGCCATACAAAATTTATGGGAGAGTCTTGTTTTGTCAATTTTAAAAAGTACGTCAATTACCTAATATGTATGGTGTCAAATACCCTAACCCTACCATAAACTAAAAATGTGAGTGAAGGTGGTTTCTAATTCGGATTTCGGATTCGGATTGCTCGGATCGCTGAAAATCAGTTTCGAGACATGGTCTCGATGTATGCTGAGCCTTTTTGTCAGAGGGGCACAAGTAGCTAACTGTCCACTTGTGTATTTCTTTCTGTGTGTACCTATGTCTTGTCTTATCAAACAAATTATTTTGGGACAAATGGAAGGCAGACGTGCTCGGGGCAGGGCACCGACGAGATGGTCGGACGCGGTGAGGAAGACGGTGGGCGGGAGTTTGTATCGTGCGGTCCACACAGCTCATGACCGCAGTCTGTGGAAGAACACTATCTGTGGTCGCGATCCTTATCAGTAAGGGGCCGAGGAAGAAGAAGAATGTCTTGCCTGCTTGTATACTTTTCTTTCAAATAAAAACTATTCTGTCTATATTATAATTTCAGGCACTCACCTGTGAAGCCTCCTAGCGACCTCCTGCTCGGGAACGAAACTGGCGTTGCTCATCGACATCAATGTGTTGGATAACGCCACGATGGACAGCAAGTGGTTGGTGGTGAGGGTCGTGCTTAGCTCCCAGTGGAGTTTGGAGGTGAACAGCCTGTAATAAAACAAGTAAGTAATGTTAACAGCATAGTGTTTAATTTAGAACTCCTCCTATGTTCTTCTGATTAATTTCGTTGCGGGTCAATGACAGTTTAACTTTCCCCCGGGACAAACTTGACCTTCATTGGTTGGGTTTTTATGGCGGTCAAGCTGTAGATCCTGGCTACACAGGAGTTGCAGCGGTGGGAACGAGAGGTGGGATTAGTCTCGTGTTCGGGCAGTTAGAGGTAAGATATCCAGTTTCTGTGTGGTTGAGGATTCAGGGTATAGCTCGCTTCCAACCTTCAACCTGATCATCAGTTTCCATCAGATGAGATGCAGGCCAAAAGCTTCAAAAAGGTTACGGTAGTAAGACTAAAGGGCACCGCATCACAAGCCTCCCCCCTTTTTTCTTAGAATCAATGTGAACTTATTAGGAAAGTCAGGTCTTGTCATTTACTAACCTGGTAAGTTTCTCCTGCTTCAGCAGTTCAGGCGGCAAGTCGCTGGTGACTGGAGAGACTCTGCCCTTTCTTTATTATAATCAATGTGATCCTATTAAGCGACCACGAGATCAGACTGCTTTGGCTCAGGTGGCAGGTCACTGGAAGCTTCCAGTTATTATTAATATTAGCTAATAGAGGGTCGAGGGGCGCCTCATCGCAAGCCGTTATCTTTTCTTCTTAGAATCAATGTGACCTTATTAGGATACCAGACTGCTTTGGTCTGTTACCTGGTATTAAGTTTCTCCTGCTTCAACAGTTTAGACAGCAAGTCGCTTGTGGCCAGGAGAGAATCTAGGGGCAGCGTGTCGCAGGCCTCAGCCCTTTCTTAGGATCAATGTGATCTTGTAAAGGACCACTGACCTGGTAAGTTTCTCCTGCTTCAGCAGCTCAGGCGGCAAGTCGCTGGTGGCCATGAGATTCTAGGGGCAGCGTGTCGCAGGCCTCAGCCCTTTCTTAGGATCAATATGACCTTGTAAAGAACCCACTGACCTGGTAAGTTTCTCCTGCTTCAGCAGCTCAGGCGGCAAGTCGCTGTTGGCCAGGAGAGGATCAATGGGCGCCGCGTCGCAAGCCTCCGCCCAGCCTCCGAGGCGGGTTGGTAGTTGAACCACCATGAGGCGACTTAATTGTTCGTGTTACATACTAGCCTTATAAGGAGACCATGCTAGAGTAGACTGCTTGGTCTTGTTACGAACCTGGTAAGTTTCTCCAGGTGTAGCGGTTCTGAAGGATATTCACTGTGGACCAAAGGTGCTACTAAATGTAGCCTAAACATTACCAGAGTACAGAGACCGCTTGCTCTTGTCACTGACCTGGTAAGTTACTCTTGCTGCTCCTGCTCAATGCTAATGAGTGGGACTTAGGCTGTTGGCGTCCAAGACTAGTCTGTCATTGTAAACCAAGATTGTGTACAATCAATGATCAGGCAGTTGCTGAATTAATGTGTTCTGGTATGGAGACCAGACAGTTCTGGTCTTGTTACCTGGTAAGTTTCTCCTGCTTCAACAGCTCAGGCGGCAAGTCGCTGGTGGCCAGGAGAGGGTCGAGGGGCGCCGCGTCGCAAGCCTCCGCCCAGCCCCCAAGGCGGGTGGGTAACTGGACCGCCATATGGCCGTGGCGGGATACCACGCCGAAGCAGACTGGGACCTGGGAAGGAAGATAGGTTGTATGTTGTAAAAATACTTTTTCCATTCTTTCGTTCCAGCTTAGGCAAATAATTACGTTTGAAAAATTAAAAAAAAAGAGCGCTTCTTAATTTTCCCACAATGGCTCTGATCAGGCCTAGTTTGACGCTAGCAGCAGCGAGTTGTGAGAGCGAGAACGAATGAGAATCTGGAAGTTCTACCTACATCCCTAGGATGATCCTCAACCTCTATTTAACAAACTTCTACTTTGTGCCTTTGATGCACGGTAATACTGTTTGAGGCTTTCACTTAAGGTAGAAAAAAATGTAGCTTCTTAGTCTTCTCAACAGTCGTGTAGGTCTCTGGGATCTCTGGGGTCTTAATTAGGTCTTTTCACTGGAACCCAGAGGAGTTATCAACACGAATCTGAGTAAACACAGCTTGGTGCAAGCAGCAGCTAGATTCTCCATCGTATGAAGACTGAAGAATTGGAGATATTGAAGAAAGGACTGGAAACAACATGCAGCTTCTCACCATAGGTCTCAGCAGGCCAAGCTTGGCCTCGCACACGCGGTCCAGATCCTGAAGATGGAACCTCTGGGTCTCAGATAGATGGTACCACCAGATTACAGAGGCAGTTTCATCATCATTATTTCAGCCACAGGACGTCCACTGCTGAACATAGGCCAATGACTTCCACAATGCACGGTTGGTAGCGGCCTGTATCCAGCGCCTTCCTGCTACCTTTATCAGGTCGGTCCACCTTGTGGGTGGCAGAGGTGGAAGAGGCAGTTTATTGACAATGGAAGAAGATGGAGGCTCTCGCTCTGGGCTAGAAAGAAGATGTAGCTACTCAGTCTCACCATGGTTCTGAAGGACCTCTGGTTCTAAGATAGGTGATCTTACCACTTAATCATAGAAGCGGCTAAATAACTTAAAACCATGGGTCTGAGTAGACAGAGGTTGGTGCAAGCAGCAGTTAGATTCTCCATCGTATGGAGAATTGGAGATATTGAAGAATGGACTGGAAGCAACATGTAGCTTCTCACCATGGGTCTCAGCAGGCCAAGCTTGGCCTCGCACACGCGGTCCAGATCCGGATCCAGTCCCCACGCGTGCAGCAACGAGATCAGGATCTGGGCGATCTCCATCGTGTGCGGAGGCTCCGCCATCGCGATGTCTTTGGGTCTCTGCCTCTTGCCTGGGGTGCCTTCATCTGTAACAAAACATAGGGTACTTTTGAGAATAATGTAGCTTTTAGCATCAAGTCCACCTTTTGTACGTTATTTGTGCTTAAATGAATAAACGGATAGTATTCTTGTGTGACCACTATTTACCTAGGTTTTAGGGTAAAAATCATGAGATATGTAAAGGCTTCTAATTTTTCTACTAAATAAGTCCATACGAATACATATTTTTTAATTTGTTGACCCTGAATTGTATAAAGATCTACATATACACCGTGAAATATTAGTGGTTGTTTTCCTGCGGTAGATCGATTTACGTTTAGTAGTACTATCGAATCATGCGAGTAATTTTTGAAAAAAAAAAAATGTTCTCAACTAATCAATAAAATAATCATCTAGTCTACTTACTCGGAAGCGTAAGAAACGATAGTTTTTTTTTACAAAATGTGACATTTTTGGATACTAAGTAATACCATAATACCTACAGCATAAACTGAATCGCACACGCTCCGTACAGGATATTTTTTGATTTGAATTAATAAAAATCTTCCTTAATCTATTATACTACTAAGATATTAAATTTTAATTCTTTGGCTTAGCCTTATTTCAGCACTCAATTGAAAATTACGCGAGAACCTAACACACACTAGCTATTTTGTTATACATACAACATATCAAACATTTAGGAAACGTACAAAACATAATTATTTAATTATAACTACATAATTGGCATAAAAATAGCATTGACATTAGATCAGCGTCTAACCACAATTCACACAACAATAAAACAATATATTCATAATTAATAAAAGGCAACAAGGCATGGATAAAGAGATAATTACAAATTCATGTGTAGTGCTTTCAATGGTTGGTTTATCGATATCGAGTGACTTACAGTATCACGTGGAATAATTTTAAGATGTCATGTCATAATTTACCTTAACATCTAACATAAGTGCTTATTTATTTATGACAAACTGTGTGTACATCCATAGCTTGCTACTAAAGCTATACTTTCGTAACAATGAACTGTCTTTATAGGCTAGTGAAGTCACGTGCGTGATGGATTCAAATCCCAATGTATGTAAATTGAGAATGTTACTAGGTATGCAAAATCACTTGAAACCTATGTTACAGTTAAGCTTTTACATTTACAAATACATTAGTTTTTATTTCATTCAAAAATACCCAGTAGTTATGATTTTATAGGCATTCAAAGTTCGCTTAAATATTGAGTCCCGCCGACGGTCACGTGACCCCGTGTGACGTACATTCACAGCGTCCGCTCACTAGAAAACGGATATAAACATACTTAAATATTTTTTTTTTGTAAATACAAACTTATTATACATATTAACACCCAGACCCATCACAGAAATTAAAATTGAACCAAACCCAAACTTGATGCGATTGTGTCATTTTATTGCGAATTAGCTTCCAGCTCCATCATTAGACCCCGATTACTATATAGAATTAAAATACTCATCAATACAAAACGAACGAGCCCAAACTCGATGCATTTAAGTCGTTTTATTATAGAGTTCCTATGGCCACCTTCCAGCTCCATCATCAGATCAGCTCCATGTCATCACAATATTGCATGGTCATCCAAATCACATGTGTTTGCGAAATTTCAGCTTAATCGGTTGCCTGGAAGTGGGTCTTAATTCAGCTTGCAAGATTCCACCCATACAAATATGAGCCAGTCACTGTAATATGACGTCACGCGCATAAAATTATTTCGTTTAGGTCAAATGACGTCTACTGTTGGACAAGGGCTTCCCGCAAGGATTTCCACAATGAATGCTGCCCTGTCCGCAACCTTCAACAGATTGTCGGTAAAAATTAGTTTTTTGAAAATATATCGATAATATCATCGACACTAGCACATCACTACAGTCAACACGCGTTACAAACGTCTTGACCGTTACAGTCTGTCACTGACCTTGCGTATTCAAGAACAAAATAAAGTAATGAATTATTGGTATTGTTTGCGGTTTGTTTTTTATTGCAAATTGTTTATGATTAGGCAATGTAACAACAGTTAGGTATAGTTGGTCTAAAGTCTCCCATATAATAAACTAGCAACCCGCCCCGGCTTCGCACGGGTGCTAAATGTACATTATGTATAAACCCTCCTCTGGAATCACTCTATCTATTAAAAAAAACCGCATTAAAATCTGTTGCGTAGTTTTAAAGATCTAAGCATACATAGGGACAGACAGAGGAAAGTAAATACGTGATTTTTCTATGTTTTGCATTATGTTATTTCCATATCAAATAAAGTTTTTTTTTTCTATTCTGCATAGGCCCCTAAGAGATATATTGACGCCCGTATTCACAAACGATACTTGCTTAAGTGAAGCAACAAATCGATCTGTGATTGGTTCGTGTGTCACCCTGTGCATCCACGCGCACTGTGTTGAATCTTTGTGAATACGGGCGAAATACACAAGTTCCTGAGGAAAAACTGAGTTCTGTTTGATACCATTGACCTTCGTTTGTTCCAAAAATTAAAAATACCAAACGGTCACCCATCTATGAATTTGTTCTACGAGGGTTGCTTAACATTAAATATCATGTGAGATAATTACTAGAGATTATAAAATTGTAATTAGCACATTAGCTATTGTACGATCGTCCGGCCTTGCCCATTCAAGAACAATACAGACATTGTAAAGTGTACATGTAAAGACTGATTCACACTAGTAAGACGTGTCGTGCTGTGCGTGATGAAGTTATTGTTGTTGTGTGAATGAAGGCTGTGGAGTTTATTACTATGGTAAACTACTTGATGTAAGCCTCCCACCTAAGGAGTTCCACGAACTAACGGAGATGTCACTTGCAGCTAGCTGCATTCTCCAAGGTGCAACTTCGAACTTATCCTATGTTCTTCTGATTAAATTCGTTGCGGGTCCAATGACAGTTAAATTTTTCCCCAGGACAAACTTGACCTTCACTGGTTGAGTTTTTTTGGCGGTCAAGCTGTAGATCCTGGCTATACAGGAGTTGCAACGGTGGGAACGAGAGGTTATTACAGCATCTATACTAATATTATAAATGCGAAAGTAACTCTGTCTGTCTCTCTTTCACGCCTAAACCACTGAACCGATTTTGATGAAATTTGGCATAGAGATAGTTTGAGTCCTGGGAAAGGGCATAGGATAGTTTTTATCCCGGTTTTTGAAAGAGGAACGCGTGCGATAAAGTTTTTCTGTGACAGACAAAATTCCACGAGGGGAAGCCGCGGGCTGAAAGCTAGTAGCTAAATACTTAAATGCTCGTGTGATAAGAGTAGGAGATCGTACAGATAGTTGTATGATCCTCTACAATGGCGTGGACGCCTCAATGTGAGAATGAGAGCGAACGACTGAGAAGAAGAAGAATAGATATTGTTGTGTTTAATACTGTATCTCATGTTGATAGCCCAATAAATAAAAAAATAGATGTAAGGGGGCAAGTCGATAGGGCGACGGGGTTCGATTTCGAATACTTAATTAAGTAACTAATGCGCTGAGTTCGAAACTCAGTGTCGAATTAGAAATTCACGCACACAAAGTAATCAAAATATGTGCTTATTATCCACTGCGGTATTAGTACTCAATGTTCGAATAATCTTTAAAACTATGCAAGCAATGTAAACTGTTTACATTATGACGTCGCTGCTGTCATCATTGCTTTTACGAGCAATGTGTTCTGTTTTTGGGCATATTGCTGCGACACCGGCCCCGCCCCTTGTCACATCTCCCTTTAGTTTCTGTGATCTGTGAATTCGACACTAACATCTTAGGCATTGGGCTACTGTCGCTTCACTATCTACAATTTTACTCAGCAATCCAAGGCCCATTTCATTTGCACACGAAGCGTGGTCCGTTTTTTGACAGCCCCACCCAGACCACATGATGCGTACGCGCAGATTTATAATGCTTGAACAATGCTAACGAATGGTGTTGCAACTGTAATGATTGACCGCTTATTTATGAATTGTTCAATTGGGCAATTGTACTTTTGAAAGGCTGATTTGGGCGTTTTGCAAATTAAATTGTATATTCATTTTTGGGAGTGTACAACGATAAGTGTTTGAAATGCTTGTTACCAAAGATTGTTCTATAGGTATAGCACTACTGAGTCAGTGCCTGAGGTATGGAAGCGGCACGGGAGGGTTTTTTGAGACGTCAAACGTTAGCGAGACTTCAGATCCTTTTCGTATTTGTATGTCATAATATGTCAATGTCACCCCTCCCGTACCGCTCCCATATGACAGTAAAGTAGTCTTGTCCCGTCTGTAAGGAGTATTTCAAAGTATTATAGGAACTACTGACGATCTGGTGAAGGTCGCAGGATGCACCTGGATGCAGGCAACGAAGTACCGGCAGTTGTGAAAATTCGTGAAAATTGGAAAATGTGGAAGTTCTTTGTCCAGCAGTAGACGACATTTTAGCTGACCCGATGAATTCAGATACATACGATATAAACATATACTCAACATCAAATAAACCGCACCTTCCGCGACGCGAACTTTAACGATTTTCTTCTAACACAATCATGGTGCCCCAACAATATTGGTGTTATTTGAAAGCTTAATAAATATCCTTAAAGAAAATCGCATTTAATTTCTTAATAAATGATTATCATATACCATAAATGTGACTTGAAAAAATACCTCACTTTGGACCCACCTATGGGATCAAAGAGACCAATTTTTATGGTTATAAAACCAAATAATGATCTCACGCGTCCTCTTTAACAGATGGATAGCGATTAATCCCAACTTAACAGTTTTATAGCCATAAAAGTTGGCTCTAGCGTCTACCTATTACCTATACTCTCTACCTATTTTTTGAAGTAGTGACTCTGGATCCTTCTAAAGACACATTTTTGGGGTAAAAACCTTTCCTTTAATGAAATGAAGGTTAGAACTAGGCTTTTAAATGGTGCCAATATTGGTGGGAAGTGGGGATGCATACGTTTGAAAATGCTTGTCGCGGGAGGTGCGATTTATTTGATGTCGAGTGTATAAACAATCTCA